ATATACAGGAAAAATAACTAAAAGAGTAAACGCATAATAACTGCCCCTCGGGCACAGTAACAACAGAATCAGCCCCTCGGGCTATATCACAGAACAATACCAGCCCCTCGGGCTATATCACAGAACAATACCAGCCCCTCGGGCTATATCTCATATCACAATGGGTACCCGCGCTCACTGGGGGTGTACAGACTCCAGGAGGGGCCCCTTACGGCCCAAGCGCATAATCAAGCCATCTCGTGGCATCATAGACAGGCTCTCGGCCTCATATCAAATCTCAAGCCACCTTGTGGCGTACAAATCTCAGGCCCTCGGCCTCATTATCATAATCAGTGTATCCCTGCTGCGGCGTGCAGCCCGACCCAAAAGTATCCTCACAATACAGGCCCTCGGCCTTACTCAGTCAGAATCTCATAAGCCCCTCGGGCAACAGTAAAACATGAAGCTCGGCTCAAAATATCATTTAATGTGTTTAAAACAGAATAACATAGCTGAGTTTTGAAAGTAGTAAAAGTATAGTATGACTGAGCACCAGTACGAAATTAAACAGTGAGGAAAAATGTCATTTAAAATCCCTGAAAGTTTCAAACAGTTGGCACGAAGCCCACATATGGCATTTAGCCCAAATATATAATGATATCAAACAGTTAGCTATTAAATACACAGTAAAATAGTCATACGGGATGGACTAAGTCACAATCCCCAACGGTGCTCTACCCCACGCTCGTCATCTAGCGTGTAAGTCACCTCAACATAGTCGTACGCTGTGAAATTCCGGGGTTTCATACCCTCAGGATAGCATTTAAAAATCATTACTCACCTCGAACTAGCCCGAAAAGCTACTCTGCAACACGCTTGCCTCTTGAATCAACTTCCGAGTGCTCCAAATCTACCAAGTTCAGATTTTTATCATCAAAATTATGCTAAACGAATGAATTTCACTTGAAAAATATCGAATTTAAGCACAGAACTCGAAATCAGTCAAAACCCGTCCCCCGAGCCCGCGTCCCGGAACTGGACAAACTTTATACCAAAATATTCTTCATCATCTCGCGAGCCCGTACATATAAAGAACTCAAAAATCGGAGTTAGTTTGACCCCTCAAATCATCCCTAGAAGGTCTCATAATCTCAAGCCCTAACTCCACCTTTTTCTACTGATTTTCATGAATTACACACTAATGTTTTGTTCCTTAATCACAAATAATCAAGTTTTAGGGTCCAAAATCCTTACCTCAATGAAGAACAATGATTTCCTCTCTTCAAAATCGCCTCAAGGCTCTTTTCCCGTTCAAAAATGGTGTAAAAGGGTTCCAAGTCGCGGAATAGCCTTTTTAAAACATTCTGCCCAGCTATTACGCGAAGCACAATTCCTCAGCTCCCAAAATTTACTCTATGCGAACGCGTGAAATACCATGCGAACGCGATGCTCAAGCATCTGACCCTACGCGATCGCGGACTGGCCACCGCGTTCGCGATGAACAACTTCCATCCAAGACCCCTGGTCCACTTAACCCTATGCGAACGCGACCTTCACTACGCATTCGCGATCAACAACTTCCTCACTTCTATGCGATCGCGACCCAACTTCCGCGAATGCGAAGAACAACTGGACTTCCCCCTCAAAACCTTCTATGCGATCGCGAGAGCCCCTACGCGATCGCGAAGAGGAATTCTCTGCAACAGCTGAACCTGCAAATTCTGCAACATCTTCAAGGCATGAAATGGTCCGGTTGACCACCCGAAACTAACCCGAGGCTCCCGGGACCTCAACCAAAGCCACCAACATATCCCAAAACCTTATTCGAACTCGTACCAATCTTCAAAACACCTCAAACAACATCAAATCAACCAAAACACATCGGATTCAAGCCTAAGTTTCTAAAAATCTTCCAAATTCCGCTTTTGATAAAAAACTCAGCCAAACCACGTCCGAATGACCTGAAATTTTGCACACACATCTCGAATGACATAACGAAGCTATTGCAACTTCCGGAATTCTATTCCGACCCCTATATCAAAATCTCACCTATCAACCGGAAAATGCCAAAAACTAACTTTCGCCAATTCAAGCCTAATTCTACACCGGACCTCCAAAACACATTCCGATCACGCTCCTAAGTCCCAAATCACCTAATGGAGCTAACCAAATCATAAAAATTCCGATCCGAGATCATAAACAAACAAGTCAAATCTTGGTCAAACATTTCAAATTTAAGCTTCAAACTGAGAACTGTTCTTCCAATTTCATTCCGATTACCCTGAAAACCAAAACCAACGATTTACATGAGTCACAATACATCACACGGGGCAAGTCATGCCCGGGAACTGACGAGCAAAGTGTAAAAGCTCAAACGACCGGTCGTGTCGTTATAATTCTGCAAGTTCTTACATAGGCAATGAATAAGGAGATGTTGGTGATGAGTTATAAAAGGAATGAGATCAATCATTAAAGAATCATTCCTTTAAATCAAGATTCTCTCCTAATGAGATAAAGAAGCCCAAGTCCAAGCATGGTAAAAATAACGTTAAAGGTCTGTTATCTTATATAGAGGAGATTTTCTATTCAAATACAATTTGAAGCACTCAATTTATGAAAAGGGAATTAATGATGCCGCTGGTACAAAAGGAATATCATGCAATGGTCAAATCTCAAAAAGAACCAAGCACTTCAACTATGAGGAAAACCAAAAACCATACCAAGGAAGATCTTCAACAAATATGAACTGATGATACTACATCAACAGGAACAATTATTTAAAGAAGAGTTGAAGACACTTCTCAGCACCAGCTTCCCATATAATTTTTCTACTCTTTCTACACCTTAGTCAAGCACGTATTTACAAGTTTCATAAAAGATAGAGAGAAAGGAAAAAATACTGAGAGGTTGTGTCATTGTTCGTTTCTTTGGTGAGCGAGTGAAAACCAAAGTATCGTTATTGGTGAGCGAGTGAAAACCAACTCTTTATCGTTTGTTGGTGAGCGAGTGAAAATCAACCCTTGTAAACGTTGGTGGTGAATGTTAGAAACCACAAAAGATGTACTCAATCCAATTTACAAAGAGCTCTAAAAGATAACACTCTTGCAATCCAAGAGGATTGGATTAGGATACCACATTGGTTCCGAACCAGTATAAAAATTCGTGGTGTCATTTACTTTATCGCTCTCATATTATATTCTGCACCTTTACTATTTCTTATAATTTGCACTTGGTTAAATTGAAGGACTAACGATTTTGTGCAGACTGTCTCCGCATCGGTCGACTAAGTGTATGCCGTAGTCAACTAAATTTTTAACAGGCGTACAATCCCTCCCCCCCTCCCCCCTTGTACTTTCAGTTTAACTCACAAAAGCACGCATATTAGTGTTTGATGAATTGCTTGAAAGAGTTAATATGTATTTAATTGGAGCGAGTGAGTACGATTGCTCGTTTCTCTCTTCAATGCTTCTAATAGAAAGATAGTTAAATACTTTAGTAACAAACATTACTAGACAAGTTGTCTTTTGGTTTGACCAGCAGTTGAATTATAACATAAAGAAGCTTAACAAGCAAATTTTGCTGCTGTCATTAGATAGGACTCACAAAGCATAATCTAATAGTTTGTTGAATGTTATTAAGAAGTTTTTTGGTTAAGATCCAAACTGCCGTTAACACTCACAGTATTCTTTGAAGTTATAGTGTTTTTTTTTTTTTTTTTTGTTAATGAAAGAAAAGGAAAGAAGCTACAGATGGTATGCTAATAAAACTTTCCCCTTTCTTCTTCAATCAACCTCTTTTCTTTCATTTTCCTCTATAAAGGTAACAGGTACACAATGTTCATTAAAAAGTTAGTTATCTCTATTTTTGACCTCACCATTTAAGTGCAATAATCTTTAAGCTCCTGTCATAATCCCTGTGCACTTGAGATTTGAATAAACATATTAACTTAGAATTGTTCTAGCTAAAGTTTAAATGATTTATTCTGATATATATGCATAAATTTTCAGAATTTTGTATTAATCTTATATGTCGTTTTCATGTCGAAAATTCATGAAAAAAAAAAAGAAGTAAAAATCTTTAGAAATACTTTTGAATGTTTATTTCATGCTTTTGCCATGCTTTACATTTAAGGATACCGGTATGAGTATGTATAGATTGTTCCAGAAAACATTTAGACTTGAATTGCCAAGAAAGTTGATTTAGATCATAGCCAGGTCACACAGAGCAATTTATTATTGAAGTATTTTTGGGAGTATCCTCTATTTTGAGAAGGGATCATAGTCCATGCCGAGGGTCCTGATCAAGGCGTTGACTTCCTGAAACTACTTGTGCCAAAGTAGGGAGCACACGAGCCAGGGGTCTCGTTGCTGAGAATTTACCTAGTCAGGCTAAGGTATGATACATGAGCGCTGAGAACCATGAAGCGAGTGGCACCTCGTGGATTAGGACTATTCGATCAGGTTGGAATCGAACCTGTGCCGATCACACAGTGACTGAGACAGAAATAAGTCAGGATAGAACTCTCGAAGCATAAAGTGAAGTATTTTTTTTTATAAGAAAGAAAAAGAAAAAAATTTCTTTTAAAATGTTCATAAACTGCCGTAATACAATTATTTTAGAATTGTTCCTAGAAGCTTTATGTTTTCCATGCATTTAGAATCTTTGCCTGTAATGTATATTTTATTAAAGTTTTATCCCCTGTCAATGAGACTCCCCGGTCACGGCTTGTTCAGAAAATGGGTCGTGACAATAAATCTCATATTTAAAATTTAAAAAAAAAAATTAAATAGGACAAAGAGGATGGTAATTGTTCTCCTTATCCAGAAATGTCGCGTTTGCAGCCGCATTTGACTATGACTTCCCAACTATCCACTTACAAGATTGCACTGGAATATTTGGTATAAAACACTATGACAAGCAAATTTTGCAGCATACAGAGACTACAGATATTGAGTTTGTTGAAGGCTTTATTTTCACGAGATGTAGGAATGACTTGTGTCCGTATGCAAAAAGAAAAAGGCTACAACAAGCAAGAAAATCTTCACTATTTCTGCAATTTTCCCAAAGTACACAGTACTCAAATTTCATTTTTCTTTTAAAAACTTATTATTAGAGCAGAACTTTACAGTACATTTAACGGTAAAGCAGCATGGTGCAGAATTGCAGATCCCACAGCTTGAGGACTATTCATCCAAAAGTTGCAAGACCCTGAAACGGATAACAGAAAGGAAAGAAATAATTCTTCTAAAACATACATGCGGACAAAGAATGAGACTGCTACAGCGTGTGGCCTTAATTCCTAGTGTTCGACTTCTGCATTCACTGGGTCACTATAAAAAATAGAACGTCAAAAGAAAACCAGATAAATCTGCATCCACTGTTTGAGTGATCTCAAGTGGGAGGTTGCCATGTTCCTGGTCTAAAGGATTCACCAGAACCAGTTGGCTCTGACGACCTGAAAATAAACATGATCGATATAAGTTGTTGCAGATGATCTAAATTAATCCTGTTGTCACTCATTCTATATAGAGACAATTTAAATGTAAAAATTCCGAGGGATCTGGTGCTTGTTAAGTCCATCAAGAGAAGGGTAAATCAAAACAGCAGGCAGGAACAAGAACTTACTCTGGTTGTTGTTTGAGACGACAAGACATATTTTTCTCGGCTTCAGTTTCTTTCGATCTTGCATGTCTACATTACACAATATGCAAGTTTTAAAGCAGCGAATGCAATATATTAACATAGTCAAGTTCATAGAAAGCAAGATAAGTTATCTGAATGTAAATATTTCTCATTTACCCTCCACTTTTCTTTTATTTTTCCTTCTTATTTTTAATTAATAGTGACAAGAATGACAACCTAGTGGAAGTAGCCCACAATAGATTATACTATTGCCGTTACTCACCTTACTTCTTTCTGTGTATCAGATGTTTCTGGGATTATATCACCTTCCAGAAATGACGATCAATCAAAACAAAGTCAATAAATAATTAAGAGCATAAAACTGGAAAAACAAATAAAATGGGAAAGAGAGCATTGCTTGCATAACAAAAAGATATATCACTATATCAATTGGCATCAAACCTTACAGCCTGTAATCTCAAGTCTCAACCCAAAAAAAAGAAATAGAGAAAAAGAAAAAGAAAGAAAGGAAAAACCATTCTGTTCGCCACTAAAACAAAAGGGGCCCTACGCGGCGCGAATCCGGATATAGTCGGGCTCCAATGCGGGTACCGGACACCGGGTGGGAAACCAAAAAAAAAAAAAACACTCTAGTTTTAGTAGTTTTTGGCCATTTGGTCGCAATATAAGAAAGGCTTATAAGACTCATTGCAAGCGAGCGATCACCCTCCCTCGAGGAACACATCACGTCTATATTACTCAATAAAGATAATAAGTAATCATAAATGAACATATTACACATATATCATTTGAGTTCAGGATTTAGTTGCTTAACTAGTTAAGAGGGTATTGTACAAACGGAGGATAAACAATACAATAGGGTACATGGTATAATAAGGTATCCATTATTATTGATATCCTTGTAATAACCCCAGCGTTACAAAATTCCATGATATAATTTGAATGTATATACTCCTATCCTGGTATTACACAGGCGCATCTTATTGGCAAACCAAACATCCTCTAACAAATTATATCACAAGGAAAAGGCAGCGAATCAAACAACCTCTAACATGTTATGCAACAGCATTTTCATTTTTCCTCTCCTTAGTCCAATAAGCTACTCTCAATTACCTTTCTTATTAAAAAGGGAGTCTGTTAAGCTACTTAAAAGTGATGCTTCATTCACACTACAGTCAAATGGGTCAGACATGCATGTGGGTGGTACTCATGCAGGTTCTTCAAGGCAACTAAATAGCAAAAAACTGCACATACTACGGATGCTTGCACGCATCCATAAGTGATACCTACCCATTCAAATGCATGTCGCATTCAAGTTCTTTTCCAATTTAGAGGTGATGAAATTTGCTATTGAAGGTCAGAAGGTTTTAACAAACTGAAGATCATTGGAGGAAAAGTTGAAGGAGAAAAAAGGGGGGTTTGGGGCGCTAAGAAGGACAAACATGGAGAATAAATTGGGAGAACCAAGAAGTTGTCTTTTTATGGTAGGAGCTTGGTATCAACCTTGCAGATGGCTACACAACTACTTGTCCTCTGGCCAGCTTTGTGAACTTAGATTAAGTTACATGATCCATTACACATGCTTATTCTAGCTTAAGATTCACCATTGGGTTTGTTTTGTGACAAATGGCTGTTGGCTTTGTCTTTTGGAAATCTCATTCCCTAAAACATCTTTTGAGGCTTTCATACTGTGAAATTAATAGAATAGAATCGATTAATCATCTTCAGACGCTACTAAAAACTTTAACAGAGAAAACATAAGAGTTTCCTAAAGGGAAGTGCAATTTGCAAAAAGGGAGATCGCACGACCCGCTGTTTTTCTTTGAGAACTGGCTCTTCCAGGGGAACATCTTTTCTGCTCTTTGTTTTCAGAAATCAAAGAGGAGATCATTTTGCAACCTTTTTTTTTTTGCTTTCTAAACCAAAAAGTTTTTGACAGTGAAACCAAGAAAAAGAAGTTTCCGCGAAACCAAACGGACCCTAGCTTTATAGGATAGGTGATACCTTCTGAAGCATCTGGAAATTGTTGAACGAAACTCTTTAAATCTGGACCATCGGCTTTACCTAGAGACAAGGTGAAGAGGTCATAAACAATGTGCAGTTCATGTAGCAATCAGCTTGCAGTTTCAAAGGATAGAGCAAAACTGTAGTAAGCGACTTACCAATGCTTGTGGCTTTACTCTTGCCTTCTTTGGCCTTTCTTTCCTCTTCTTCCTTCCTGAGACCTTAGAGCAACAAAAAAGAGAATATATAACAAGAAATGGTGGTGGTCCTACTGACAGCCAACAAGATGATCACCAAATTGTGTCTTAAGGAAGCATGTAAGTTTGGAAAATCTCCAACTGAAACTAATAGAAAGATTAAACTCATAAGCAGCTACCAGAACAGAGCAGGGTTTAAAGTAGGAAAGAAAAGTAAATCAAGATGACCCTGTAGTTTAAGCACATAGAACTACTTTGACTCCAGCCCAGGGTCAAATACGGGCCAAAAGCAGAAAATCATTTAAAAGCTCGTCCACCTAGTAGTTCAATGAAGTGTTCTTCCATCATCTCTTATAAACTTAAATGTTCTAGGAGATAGGAGTAAGTAAGAATGTAGAGCTGTTATTTCCAGAGTGGTTCCTACAAATCCTTGAACGAAGTAGAGGCTTAAAGTTGGAATACTTACGAGCAACATTAAGCTTAACAAATTCCCTTCTGGCCTCCAACTCAGCCATCTCCTGGTAAAGAAAATATATAACCATCAAGACAGTTCAGGAATCGACTTGTGCTAAATAAAAAAGCTTTTGAAGGACAAGACAATAAAAGGATAAAAGTGCTATTGCGAAACAAGGCAATTCATACGAAGAAAGAAGAAAAACAATGGAGGTTAAGGTTGATTACTGAATTATAGTAGGAAATTGTGACAAGAAAGATCCAATTTTACCTCTGAAGTTGGAGCACTCTTCCGTTGTCCATTCAACCAACATATCCATTCAACTACAAGAATCGACAGTTACTCTTTAATGGCAGCAAATGTCGTGGTAGTGTAATTTGGAAAGTTAATAGCATTAGCAGATTTTTTTCCTAATGATGTATTAACAGGAGGGAGAAGGCTGTAATACTTGGACCAAAAACAAGGTCTAGAGCTAGATTGTGTTTCTTCAATAAGGCATACCTGGAATCGAGGTTGGATCATCTTCTCCTTTGAACGTCACCCATCTCTTTTCCTTCACTGACAAAATATAATATTACCACATAAAGCTCTTCACCAGAAAACATCACCTGAACAAGCAAACTACAAACCATCCTAAATATAACTATTTGAAGCCTTGAAGACTTCGTAGAGTTATAGGTAACTAATTCTCAATTCCAATTTCCAAATGTTCCTCATGCAAAAAGAAAAAAAAAAAACTAATTTCTTTGACTTGGTTAAAGTGTGAAATCATGAAAGCTTGCCTCTTGGCCAGTGGCGGAGCAAGAACCCTAACAATGGGATTCAAAAATGCAAGAATATTATACCTAGAAACTTCCCTTATGTTAAGGGGATTCAACAGTTTATATATATACAAACCAAAATAAAAAATAAAAAAATTACCCTACTTGCACAGTCGGATTGGACAAAAGGAATTCAATTGAACCTCCTTCTTTACCTTTAGCTCTGGCACTGCTCTTGGCTAGGTTCACCAATAGGGTATGAAATATCCAATTTCATAGTCTTGCAAAAAGCAGAGTATATTATCACATTAACTAGAAGGGGATGTTTGTATACCTTATACCAGAATGGGTTCTTCCAACATACAAAAATCATAAGTACCTCTACTCATTTTCTTTTGTTTAATAGGGCAATAGCACCATAGCATTAAATAATCAATTTTTCAAACAGCCAAATGATCGTAATTAGCGATATTTGCAGTAACCAAAGCTAAGAAAATTCAATGTGAAAAAAAATGTCTGTAGCAACATTTGCTGAAGCCCATATAACTTTTGCTAGAACAAACAAATAATCGATGATGAAGTAAAATGGTTGTTTTAAAAAGTAAAATAAGAAGGAGACCCACTTACTGATACCATCAAGCTCCTCTGTCCTTTTAAAATAGCGATTGCCCGCTTTGTCTGCTCCTACAAAATTTTTGCTGCTGAATAAACCCGCAAACCTCGCCCACAATCTCGACATCCTTTTTCACCACTATATTTTTTCTCAAATTGCTTTGTAGATATTTGAATATCCTATTTTGGAAATCTCACTTCAATCTTTCTTTAATTTACTGCTGAATTAGCTTTGATCTGCACGAAGAAGGTAATACTCTAGATTTCGAGTTCTCGAACGATCTGTGCAAAAATGCCGGTCGCGGAGCTTGGTAACGTGGGCTGGGCTCCTGACCAGAGTGGGGCGCAAAGGTGATCGAAACTTGGGCTGATTATATATTGGGCTATTGACGGGATAAGTGCACCAATAACCATACATAATCTGTATTTGCACCGTTAATTTCACGGTATAGCCAGTTTTCGGACTGATCAATCAAAAATAGCGAGCGTTTACCAAGTCAATGAAAAATAGTCACCGTTTTGCTGCAATAGAGACCGGTCCAGCATAATATACTGGAGTTCGGTGCACTTGTGTATGAACTCCAGCATATTATGCTGGACCGGTATACTTTGCTGGCTCCAGTATAATATACTGGAGACTGGAGCACTGGTGCTCCAAACTCCAGTATATTATACTAGACCATATATACTTGCTGGAACTCCAGTATATTATGCTGGAGTTCTGGTGTATTTATGCTGGAACTCCATCATATTATGCTGGAGTTCCAGCATACTATCCTGGAACTCCAGTATAATATGCTGGAGTTCAAGTATACTTATGCTGGAACTCCAGCATAATATACTGGAGTATTTTCCGGGTTTTGAACAGTGTTTTCGCTCAAATTTATCTTTACATAAAAAGTGGCTAAATTTCGATTACTTTTGAAATCGGGCTATTTTTGAACGACCAGTTGTAAATCTGGCTATTTTTAAAAATACTACCGAATTACTATTATTAAATTTTTAATTGATTATTTGTTACACTATTAATATCTCT